GTAAGCAGCATTGTGAGGTAGATAGTATACTGAAGTTTGGAGAAATTTAATACTACTTCAGGATAGTATAGCTTATAAGTGATAGAATTGGGATTCATGGCACGTTCTCTCAGAGCACGTGTGACGTTCATCTACTTTACCTCGTCTTCTTTCTCAAACATATTCAATTTGGTAACAGTGGAATAAAATGGAATTAAAGAATAGATTTCTTCATGTAGCAGGTAATAGTTTGACTAATAAAAACTATCCCTCTAAGCAGACTTTCACTGCTACTAAAATCAATAATGATAGCTAGAACAAAATTATTATATTGCAAGACTAAAATTTATCTTAGTTATTCTTCTCAGACTTGAGGAAAAGAAGTAAGAAAGCTCATTTTTTAATATTTTAAAAGCAATCTTCTCATTGGTGTTTGAATAATGCTGACCAGAACTTCCCAAGGTTAAGGTTGTCACTACCTCGTTAGGCCTAGAAGGTTTAATTAAGAGTGAAATTAATGATATGTATGACTTTGATTTTACTAGCACACAGGTGTCAAGAGGAGGTGGGTATGTAGTTGCATCTTGCAGTTGTGTTTGTAAATCAGCCTCTGTGGGCTTCTCAGCCAAGTGTAACCATCATCTGCTTGCACCAAAGTTGTGCAAGCTGTACTGGGTAGAGAGAATTTTGTCATCTCTTTTGGGTGAGCATAGTGTAGCTTCTGAACGGACTCTTTGTTCCAAAATCCCTAGGACACAATAGATATTCATGAACACTGGCTTGTTTTCCTTAGTGTGTGAAAAACAATTGAGATCAACAATGGCTAGAATCTGATCTTTACTTCTAACACATAAATGATTTTGAGCTTTCCCTAAAAGGAAGGATATATTGACATCATAGTATGCACTCAAAATAAATGTTTATTATTGAGTGCTCAATTGATTCATTATATATGTCCTGAACTGTTATATACATATCAAGATGATATCTAATATTCCCGACCCATATACCACGAAGTTCTTGCAATTTTTAACTACTAAAATTTTTCTTTATTCACCCGTTATCACTTTAATGCCTGCAAACTTTAAGCTATCATCTTCTGTAGACAATACCAAAAAAATCCCATAACTGGTTGACCTATTCCATTCTGACCCCTCAACCCCATCATTCTCTACTTTCCAGTGAGGGTCTTTTAACAAAAAAAATTATGGATGCTCTTATTTCTGCTTTAGGTACTGAAATGATTTTCTATTCTTCTTGGATGAGGACAACCGTCAACATAATATAGTGCTGCTCACTGTTCTCAAGCTTCCAGGCACATTGACCTTTCAGTTGCTCATAGGTGCCATTGTCTCTCCTTTCACATTATCTGTGCTGATTCTAGTGTATACAGCTTCACTTCTTTCTCTCTTCAATTAGTTAACTCTACTCATCCTCTGGCTGTCATTTTTCCTATGAAAACCTGATGCCTCTGATATCAAACTCCTTATTTTAGGTTCCCATAACATTATTTCTTAATTTTAGCACGTATCATAAGTTCAACTTAATATTTCTTTGAGACATATGATTAATCTGTCTCTCTCAAGAGATGACGAGCTTCACACGGGCAGGGACTTAAATGGCTTACCATTGCTCTCAGTCTAAAACCTTACAAACAACTTCTTCTTTTTTTTTTTTTTTTTTTTTTTTTTTTGAGACGGAGTTTCACTCTTGTTACCCAGGCTGGAGTGCAATGGCGCGATCTCGGCTCACTGCAACCTCCGTCTCCTGGGTTCAGGCAATTCTCCTGCCTCAGCCTCCTGAGTAGCTGGGACTACAGGTGTGCGCCACCATGCCCAGCTAATTTTTGTGTTTTTAGTAGAGACGGGGGTTTCACCATGTTGACCAGGATGGTCTCGATTTCTTGACCTCGTGATCCAACTGCATCGGCCTCCCAAAGTGCTGGGATTACAGGCTTGAGCCACCGCGCCCGGCTACAAACTTCTTAATAATATATCTAAAGCCTTCTGATCTGCCCCCAAGTGTATTTTTTCAGTCTCATCTCCAAGAAACTAGAAGATACAATTCAGTTGAATTTAATATTTATAGATTCTCTTTTGACCCATGTTTTTCTTCCATTGGCTTGCCACAATTAGTGTAAAACTACGCAAATTGGTAGTCACTATTTCTACTTCGTCAAATCCAGTTTTCTTAGTTACCTCCAAACAGCTTCTCTCCTTACTCCACAGCGACTTCCAACAGCTTACAAGAGGCTAAACACATTGATCACATCAGTTTTTGGGTTCAAGATTCTAAATGCCTGATAACATCAATTTTCTCATCTAACTTGCCCTCCAGCAGCATTAGAACAGTTCCCACTGCCTTGTTCTGGGAAAATGTTCTTCTCTTCATTTGCATGATACCACTTTCTCTTGGCTTGGCCCTTACCTCATTGGCCACTATTTACTGTTTTTTTTGGATTGTACCTTCTAGGTGTGACTGTAAGTAGTAGTACTCCAGGGCTCAGCCTGAGATTCTCTGTTCTCATGTATATCCTAAGAGATCTAGTAAAATAGTCTCTGCTACTAGATAGTAGTTTTAAATACATTTTGAGTTTCTAGTAAAAGGTCATTGAGGATTTGCAAAAAGAGTTTCATATTAATTTCTAAAGATATATAAATAAATCTAAAGATACATTTCTTTATACTGGCCTCAGATTTGGGGCAGGTGCTTTCTTTTCTTTCTTTCTTTCTTTCTTTCTTTTTTTTTAATTTAGTGTGCTGTTTAATTCTTCAGGGGGAAAAAAAAACTACAAGAGAAATAAGAAGCTATAGTAAAAAAAAAAAATCTAAATGGAGAAGTTCACTTTAAAAACCCATGCTACATTTGATGGATATCATTGGTATTTGGGATTAGATATACTGAGGGATAAAGGCATAGATACAGAAAAGTAATTACTGTTTGAACATGTTTGGAAAAATTACTAAAGAAGTTTGTGTTTTATATGAAGTTAATAGCTTCAGAAATTTCTGTCTAAAACTTAAGTACTAAGGAGGTGCACTACAAGCAATATCATGAAAATATTTGGTTACATGAGAAAACTATTTGAGCCAATGACTGACATAACAAGACTCTTATAAATACACAGACCTTAGATATACATAAAACCAAATATTAAAATAATTTATTATCATTAAAATGTATTAATTTCCTCTTGGTGATACAAAGGCAAACACTATAGAAGGATATTAAAACTTCACTGAACTATGGTAATATGCCCTGCTCATTATAATCTAATAAATATTTATTGAGAATTCATTGTGTCCAAGATCTTTATTTTTTCATTCTTTCTTCCATATTTTTCTTATTCATTCAACAGTCATTATTTTTAAGGCATTATTATAGATTTCAGTGATAAAGAAATGACCAGGGCATGGTTTTCTTGCAGTAAATGTACAGAGGTTAAAAGGATATCATTCTTATTTTCAAGCAGGAATAGTGAAAATATTAAAAGATAATTTGTAATTCCAGTAATGACGTGTTTTCAAAGCATGTGATTTTTGAACTTAAAAAAATACCTGAAATAAGAGAGTTTGTCTTTCCATTTGTAGCAAAATAAAAAGCATTTAATAAAATTTGGTTAAGACATTTGCAATTATTTTTGGGATAGTTTATAAGATAGGCAGTTTGTGTGCTTGCAACTAACATGTTTTCTTAACTCTAATGCCATTCATTATAAGCTTCACCATAAATATGAGTAGCTTTTTGGGAAAAATATTATTATATAAGATGTGCAAATAAATTGAATTATATCTCAATCACAGAAACTTTAAACTGTGAAAGGAAAGTGCCTATTATGCTTTATGGAGGAATTAGATAGTAAATCAATTTACTAGCTAATGGTGGTTTCTAGCCTTGTTTGGCTTATTGATTGGTTTCATGTTTTTTGATAAGTCATTTTAAAAACACATCTTGCAATTAATTTCAGAACAACATTGGCAGGAAAACAGTTTTTTATTCTGTAAAAATTGAATTGGTCCCGTCTATATTTTCCAGTGCCATTTGACTCAGAGTACATTTTTCTTTTTAAAATTATCTAAGAATGCTTTGCTTCCATAATTATACAGCATTTTTCTAACCTCAGGAAAGGAATATTGAAGGCGTGATTCTTTAAGTCTACAGTCCATTGAGTACTTTGCAAATTTTAAAAAATCCCAAGCACGTGATCATTAATAAGTCAAACACTATACCTAGCTTATTTTCTATAAGTTCTGTACAACAGAACCATTAGCTACAGACTGACAGATCCGCAGCACCTACCACAGAGCCCAACATAACAAAGAGTGCTTAGTACAAGTTCCTGGGAAGAATAGATGTACGTACCAAAATGTACTAAGTTAAAGTAAATGAAGACATTTTTACATATATTAAGATGTTAAGTAGACCATTCCCAGTGCATTCCCTAAATAATCACTATTGTGTCATACATTGTATCGTATTTTTCTTTAAAAAAGCATTAAGCAAATCTAGTTACAAAGAGAACAGAAAAAGTACTTTGTTTTTTTTGTTCCCCAAAAAGTATTGGGGAAACCAAGGAAGTCCATTCTCCTGCAGACTTTATTGACTGATTTCTGCCTCAAATATTAGATTAGACACCATGATGCCATTTATACTCCATTTTCTAATCTTCAAATGTATAAAGTTTTAAAATCGTAAAGAAAGATTTTTGAGGACAGGAATTGTTTTTTGTTTGTTGTTGGTTTTTCTGCTTGGCATTCTCGACTCAGTGCCTTGCATAGTACTAAACTTGAATTTGCCATGTGTGCGCAGTTAATACCTGTTGGGTGAATGAATCAAAAATGGCATGGCTAAGTAAAGGAAACTATTGGAATTAAGATCATGAGGTCGCCCTTTCCTCAGCTGCCTCTAAGTTGCTTGGTCCTTCCAAGGAAGCGAAGGCCGCGTCGGGGTGATGCCCTCACTTCCTCTGGTGACCCAGCAGTGCTGCCCCACACTGGCTGGCACCAAGGCCTCCATTTGAGCTTGCTTGTATCTACTCAGCCCTCATTCTGCTTGACGATGATGAGGTGACTGTCACGGAAGATAAGATCTATGCCCTTATTAAAGCAGCCGGTGTAAATGTTGAACCTTTATGTCCTAGCTTGTTTGCAAAGACCCTGGCCAATGTCAACATTGGGAGCCTCGTCTGCAATGTAGGGGCTTATGGACCTGCTACAGCAGCTGGTGCTGCACCAGCAGGAGGTCCTCCACTAACGCTTCCACTCCTCCGCTACCGCTTCCACTCCTCCGCTACCGCTTCCACTCCTCCGCTACCGCTTCCACTCCTCCGCTACCGCTTCCACTCCTCCGCTACCGCTTCCACTCCTCCATTACCACTGCTCCAACTGAGGAGAAGAAAGTGGAAGCAAAGAAAGAAGAAGAATCTGATGTGTCTGAGGATGACATGGGCTTTGTCATTTTGACTAAACCTCTTTTCTAACGTGTTCAATAAAAAGCTGAACTTAAAAAAAAAGATCAGGAGGTCAACATTAACTAGCTAACTGAAATAGTATATATGTGCATGGGGATATCCAATTTGAGTATGCTTTTTTACTATCAAAATTAATACTTAGCATCATAATTAATCTGCAAATGCTCAAACTTCCTCTTTGCTAGAATTACATAGCCTAGGTGATATTCAAAATAGAAGTTTTACTAAGTGCTTTTTACCATCAAAGCAACTAACAAGTCCATGTAATCCACAAACCTTATGCATCTTCATAGATGAGCAAGTTCGGATATTGCAGTCAGACTTCTGATGTCACCAGGGATCTTTCTTTAGGATTATTAAAAACCAAATTATCAAAATGAAGATTGTCAAGCTTTGTTTTGTTTTCCTTTTGCTGGTGAGTTATTTTGCTCACTTTTTCCTCTTTGTTTGTTTTGGGAATTAGAGTGTTCCAAAGAGCCCATGTCGTGTTAAGAACTATCTCTAGATACTGAGTTTACATTGCAAACGAGCAAAAATTCCCAGTCTATTAGAGATCTTCTCTTAGGATGCAAGGAAAAGCAAAGTTCAGCTAAACTGCACAATTAATCACAATCATTTCTGAATAGAGAGAAAAGGTTGCATTAAGTTGTTGTGTTCTCCTCCTAGGGATTTAAGGTCAGTTTCAAGAAGCAAAATTACTATTCTTTCAAAGTTGTCTCTCCTGATTTGTATTCCTGTAATTATCTCCTCAGGACCTTTTTCTTTTTAACTTGTAAACATAGCTTAATAAATCAATTCAAGGATTAGCTACATGCAAATACAATATTCTGATGGCTAGCCGGACAGGTAAAGGAATAAAGTAGAACAGTTTTCTTTCCTGACCCATGATTTTCACCAGTGTGTCAATTATTTTTGTTTTACACAAAGGAATCTGAGACTTTTTTTTTCTGGGGGAAAAAAAGTGATTTTTTTGTTGTTGCTTTTTGCTTCAAATTCACTCCCCCTTTTAATAGGAAGATTAAAACATTATCTTTAAGCAGTGGACAAATTCTGGGGATCAAAAGAACAAATAGTTTGTGAAGAAATAAAGCCTTAAAATGTAATCATTATCATGAGGGCTGACTTTCCAGTTATTGAAATGAGAAGATTTTATGTTAAAATAAGCATAAGTAATTAGATATACTCTGCTCAACAACCTATACAATATTTGACTATACTACTAGCTTTTATTTCCAAAAAAGAGCTTAATGTCATTTTATTAACCTATTTTTCACTTTCCAATCAAGGAAAACAGGATAGTTATTCCAACTGTTTCTTGCATAGTTTACATTTTAGTTTTGAGACACTTTGCTGACAGAAGCAATATAGTCATCTGGTCAAATTTGTGAGCTCTGAAGCCAAATGCCAGGTCTAAATCCTAGCTATCCAGTTAGTATGTTAACTTGTATTAGTACTTCAGTTTCCCCTTCCATAAAATAGGGATCATAATAGCATCATCCTCATAGGGCTACTGTGAAGATTACATGAGTTAACATAGGTAAAGCAAATGGAACAGTGCTTGGCGTACAGCAAAAATTCAATAAAGCGTTGTTGTTATTCACAATATCTTCTCATTCTTTTAAAAACGCTATAGAGGATGTGTGCTAAGAGCATTTCTTTTGAGAAATATTGCCACAAACTACATTTAATGGAATACCTTGGGGCGTTATTTACTGGCACTAGTAGGAATCAGTATTAAAAAATGGGATTCAAGAATCCTCTTCTGTGAAAATGTCTGAAATGTGCTTATATTAGAATTCAGAAAGGACAAAATCTATCTCAAAGTTGACTTTCATGGGGCATTTACTCAACTGTTTTTATGGTTATGTTTATTTCCTGTTACTCATGCCACATGGCTTAAGGTGAACAGATAAAATGTTTTCAGAATAAGGACAGGTTGAGGAATAACAAAACACATTTCTAGCATTATTAATAACCTTGCTATTGAACTGCAATTTAAATTTATAAATAAGGCCCAATTACTTTTTTTTAGTATAACAGGGTACCGATTCTGTTGGGATGCTGAATTTTGTCTTTAAGTTTACTTAGAAAAATTATATGGCTAAAAGAAATCTAAAAAACAATACCCTAATTTTAAAGATGAGGAAAATTCCCTCCAGAGTGATTTAATTAACCACTGCTCAATTTACCCTATAAATAGCTATTGATTTTCTGTATGCAGTACTTAGTCTGCTGGGTAATATGTAACTGTAAATGAGCAGGCATAGCTTCTGTCTTTTTAGCCCTTACACGGACTACAGTGGAGAGACAGACAATTAAAGTGTGATGAAGGAAAAGATAGAGAGTTTGGGGAGTACATAGCAAGAAGAACTAACCTACTATAGAAGGTCAGAAGTAGTATAAAATTTAAACTGATCCCTGAAGGGGTTGGAGTGGACCAGTGTACTGGGAAGTTTCATGGCCTAAGGGAAGGCCTGGGGAGTGGGAGGGAAAGATGGAACAATTAGTGTGAGGGCAAAGGGATGAGACAGGAATCTCGACACATGTGCAGATCACTGGGGGCCAGGTAAACCATGTTTCAGGTATACCAACAGCAATGAAAAAAATATTTGGAGAGTTTTAAGAAGGATGACATGCTTAGATTTGTATTTCTTAAGGATAATTTTGGCTATAGCCAAGTGGATGAACTTAGAGGTGGGTGTGAGACAAGATCGAAGAGGCCGGTAGGTGGCTCTTACAGAGCCCTGGAGAGAGACTATGTTGGCTTAACCTCCCATCTACAGATAAATGCAGTCAAATCATAGCCATGTAGAAAATACTGATTTGATTTGTAAGTCTTATCTTGAAAGACTTAGAATTTTGATTGGTACATTTTCCTGTGACCCAAATTCCTGAAAAATAGCTTAAAAGAAAGACAACTCCCACCTATTCCTTTATTAAACTAAGGATTTTATGTGGCATGCCCTTTTCTATTGTAGAAAGAAAGTGATTAGCTTAATTGTTTTGTCTGGCATTTTTTTGCCCAGAAGCTAATTCCTACCTGCTAGGCACTATTCATCTTTATGTCTGTTAGATTCATTCCATGTTTTCTATTCCCATTGCCACTGCCCTAGTTTAGGCCATCATTACCTCTCACCTGGACTGTTGCCATAACCTGCCAACTCATCTCTTTGCCTCCCAAACCTTTATTTCCTCCTATTTATCTTCACATGGTGCTTTCAGATTCCCCTGCTCAAATGCCTTCAGAGATTTTTCTCTGCCTACAGGAGAAATGTTACCCATAATTTTATCTGCTCTGAAAGCTTTATCTTCTGCCCTGACCCCCATACACTCTACTCTTAGACTAAGCCAGGTTACGTGATGCTCCCCAGTTACAGCCCACACTCTCTCCGCTTTTGCATTTGTCTAGAATGGAATCCTCCAATTCCTGAAGTCTTAATAAGTTTTTAGAGCCCAGAAGAAGTAAATTTTTCATGATACCTTCTACAGTGACGTCAAACAGAAGTATTATTATCCACTTAGGGGTCTCACAGCCAAGCTCCTGAATTTTCCTGTTACTGTAGATACACACGCACGTGTCTCATCTCTCTTGTAAGGTTTTACCTTCTAAGGAAAGGCATAGTCTCTTATTCTTTTCTTTGTCTTCCTCAGTACCTTGCCCAGTGCCTTGAAAGTGGCAGGTGATCATTAAGGATTTATATCATTAAATTGAAGTCACTTTTTAAAGCTAAATTTTTAAATTTTTATATATTCTGCTTGAGATCCAAAATGCCTTCAGAAAAATGATACCATTTATGGATTAAAATTAAGATTATAACAATTCTTTTAAAGTGTAACCTATGAAGGGAAGATACTAACATTATAATATTTTATGTTTCCTCATTAAATATGTGTTAAATGTTCTATGTATTATTATAGACTCTGCTAAAAACGAGAGACAAGATCTTTATCCTTTTAGAGCTAATTCTAGTCAGGGAAGCCAGTAAATGTTTTAGCCACATCTTACATTATTTTGTAGACATTGATTTCTATCTTTATACAGGGAACCCCCTACAAAAATGTTTTTATTGCTTATCAAACAGTAATTTTTGAAACTTAGGCTGTATTACACTCATACATTTAACAAATAACTATTAGTATATTAAAACCTAGGTACTTTGCTAAATCCTGGTGTTAGTCAAGTAGAAAACAACAGGTATCTAAACAAGTGAGTGTATAATATTTCATATGTACTGTAGTCCAGATATGTTCACAAAATTGCAAAGTTATATAGCGTCACAAGTCCAGGCAAGGCGGCTGTAATCCCAGAACTTTGGGAGGCTGAGGCTGGTAGGTCACTTGAAACCCAAAGTTTGAGGCCAGTCTGGCCAATGTGGTAAAACCCCATCTCTACTAAAAATACAAAAATTAGCCAGGCATGGTGATGCGTGCCTGTAATCCTAACTAGTTAGCAGGTTTAGGCATGAGAATTGCTTGAACCTGGGAGGCAGAGGTTGCAGCTGTGAGCTGAGATTGCACCACTGCACTCCAGCCTGAGTAACAGGGCAAGACTCTGTCTCAAAAAAACCAAAACCAAAAACAAGAAAAAAAAAAAACAAAAAAGCATCATAAAATGGGCTGGGTCTTACTACAGGCTAGGAAATAATAAAGGATGAGAAAAGGACCAACTAATGCTTTGATGCTTTGGCAGTTGAGCAGTAAAGAAAGAGAGATTGCTGCATTGGACTGGTCCATATGCCTAGAATTTTTTCCTGCAGTATTATATTACTGTTTCCTTTGACCTGAAGTTCAGTCATTACTGAATGAAATCAAACAACATGAAAGGGCTGGAAGGGAAGCAGGACCCTAAAAGTAAGAGTCTGTTGAAGTGGGCTGCTGAAAGAGAAGGTACTGAGGAGGTGTGGTCAGACAAAAGAAAACTTGTGTCAAGGGAACTGAGGTGAGAGACGGTCAGCAATAGAGAGAGAAGTCAATACACACATACACACATATACAAAGAGAGTTAGCCT